AATGCAGAAGTAGAGAAAGGAGTTACAGAGTCAAACAGACGAGTTAGATGGTTGGTAGCAAGAAAGCCATGGCACATACTGGAAGAGATATGAGATAGACCAAGCGGGGAGCCAGTGTCTATCTTGTTGCAATTTATTTATGTCCTTATAACAACTACCTGTTCCACACACATCTTTCCCAAGACAGGTTACATTAAAACTTTGCTCTAATGAAAACTGCCCAAATGTCTTTTCTCCACACTTCAATTTGGACACCAGCAATGACATGCCTCACTTCTTACTATACTACCACAGCAGTCACCTCCTGACAGCTCTAAGCTCTGAGAAAGGTTGACATTTCTCTTGAGAAAAACGGAACTATCTCTCAGACATTTGGGGGCTGTCAATGTTCTACTTTTTCACCTGGATGGTGGTGTCAAAGGTGTGCATGAGTGCATATCTGAGCTGTGCATATATTCCCTGCACCCTACTCTGCATATCTCGCAATTTTCACAGTGGGGGAGATTAAACTCCCTCCAGTGCTTAAAAACACTTTAGCTGCTCAGGAAAAGGAAACAAAGTCCCTTTCAAGTGTGTCTTTCACAGGACAGCCCAATGGGTGTCAGAAAACTTTTTACATGTCTTCCCTGCCTTGAAATGAACCTCCTACTCCTCCAAGTCCTTCCAGAAAAACGGGGATCCCTTCAGGCATTGGTGATGGTCAGAGTAGCCACGGGGGTCTGGTCTCTCTAGGCTTCCTGTCAAGTCTCCTTCCAGGGCACAGACCCTGTCCATCCACTTCTCCCAGCAGGGCTAGAGCAGAGACAGGCAAGGAGACAGGCCATTTTAATGAATTTATTGGGGGGGTGGAGCTCCAGAGCTCATCCTAGAATCAGCGACTGCTGCGTATGGTGTTCTTGATCCAGTCCAGGTAGAGGCAGAGGTTGGTGTAGATGCCAGGTCTCTGGGGCTGCCCACAAGGGTTTGATCCCCAGGATGTGATACCCTGGAGAATGCCACTACACACCAGTGGGCCCCCGGAATCGCCCTGGAGGGAGGAGTAGGAGAAGAGTTTCACCTAAGATGCCTTTCTGTACTCAGAATTTAGTACCAGTTCTGTACCATGATTGGTTCACTCTAGACTTTGGGGATAAGAGCGTTGTCTTCTGGCACCAAAGGTTGGCTAGGAGAGAGAAAGACTGAGAGAGAGGGATGGGGCCTTTCATGCATGGAAACACACACAGGATGTCTAAGGGCAATGAGGGAAATCCTGACCAAGGAGAGTAATCCTGACCAATGAGCGAAGAGGATGCTGTCTTGAGGAACCATTCCAGAGAGAAGACAGTAAAGACTGAGCCAGTATCTCTTTCCTAGCCTCCAGTGAAGAGATCATTGAATCCAGTTTCCAAACAGGAGAACAGCAGAAAGGAGCAGGGTTCTTGTGGAAACACACACACACACACACACACACACACACACACACACACACTCACACACGACAATGACGGAAGGCTCTGTGGGAAGAGACCAGTGTCTCTATGAACCATCCAGAAGGATTGGATTTCGGGTTTCATGGCAGGACCACCGATGGAAATGACTACATTCCTGGCCAATGGGGACGAAAGCATTGGAGCATTGTCTTCAGGGACAGGTGGTGAGGGGGTTGGCGCATCTAAGGAGGGAGAGCCCTGAGCACTGGCCAATGAGAAAGAGAGGGTTACATCTGTGGCAAACCCCAAGATTTGTCATCTTGAGGATGGGGAGTCATCAGGGAGCACTGAAGTCAGTGGTGCCATTCCCCGGCCATTTGGGAACCGAGACATAGTTTGCATGGATCTGCCTGATTCATGAGCAGGTGGGTTTCCACGTCGTCCCACTGACTCCCTAGAAGCGAGAGTCAGACAGGCAGGGACCTAAGTCCTGGCTTTGTTGCTTCCTAGTGAATTGCATGGCCTCTCTGAGCTGAGCTCCAATGTCTTCACTGTGAAGCAGGGCGAGGGGCGACCTGGAATCCAGTGTCCTGAAGGGAGGAGCTCCATGGAGGTCCAGAGTTTTGGGTCCAGAATGAGGAGGGAGCTGGGGACCTAGACTTGGGTCCTGGAGAAAGAAGGGCCTGGACTCCTGGGTCTGAGGGAGGAGAATTATTTTCCTGGGTCCGAGGGAGGAGTGGGTGGGGGACCTTGGCCCCTGCGTTTTGTAGGGTAAGGGGTCTTAGTCTCCTCTGGGAAGGCAATTGGTGACTGCAGAATTTCAGCAATGTGGGGAAGGGTGAAGGAATGAGGATCTAAGAAACACTGAGAGGGAGATGAGATGAGGACAAGAGTGAGAACAAAAGGGGCCCCGTTGGCAGGCCCGAGGAGGTCAATGACTGAAAATAACCACATAGGCTGTTCTGGTCATAAACAATCCTTATCCGAGCGGGTCATTGCGGAAAGTCACGTCCTGAGTTCTGTATGGTGGGTGAACTTTTACCCTGAGGGAGTCCTGTCCATTGTCTCTGTGCGTCTGGAAGAACATACTTCAAATGTCAGAATGATCACTTCTCCAGTCCCGGAGATAAACCCCCTGGTACCGTGAGGAGATGACCCCAACATTCCTCACTGGTATCTTTTAACGCATACCTCACAAGTATTTAGGTGAGATGCTGACTATCCTGCATCCACCGTGTAAAAGAAAAAAAACGACTCTCCATTTTACTTTGTCTCCCATCCTAGAGATTTCCTTGCTTTATTTTTTAAAAATTCAACAAGAGGATTGTTTTAAATCATTACAAACCAATCCACCCCAGACTTGTATAAAGGAGCTGCGAAGAGGCAGGGCCAGGTGCCTGTAGCCCGACTTAGGGATTCTGCCATGTTATGTTACCTTTCCACATTTTGGATTGAATATTGATTTTCAGTGGCTTGCTGGAGAGAGGGGAAGTTGATGAAACTTCATGAGTTTATTTGGCCAAAGCCATAGGCATTCCTTCAACTTGACACCGATCCAGCGGCATGATGAGGCTGGGGACCTGAACTCCTGGGTTTGAAGGAGGGGGGCCCGAGAGCTAGATTTTGGATCGTGAGGGAGGAGGAGGCTTGGCAATCAGAAAGCTGGACCAATCAGAGTTCTCCTAAGATGCCAGGAGAAAGGAGGGCTTTGTTTCTGCTTGGTTTGCACAATTGGGTCTGTCTGTAGCTGCTATGTTGCCTCCATGTCTACACAGGCTAGAATGAGATGCACAAGAGAAGGCAAGAGACAAGCCATGGGAAACAGCTCACACATGTGTGAGAGAGAAACAGAGACAAAGAGGCAGTCAGAGTGATGGAGAGAGAAAGTGTCCCAGAGAGACAGAAAGAGAGCTGAGTGGCTTTAAGTCACCATTTCAAGAACTTGAAACTCTGGTACCCATGTCTCTTCCTCTGACATAACTATTCCTCTGGGTCTGAGGGCGGAGGGGGCTTGGCGACTGGACTCTTGAGTTTCACAGGAGGGGTCTGGGGGCCTTGCTTCCTACTTTTTGTGAGAGAAGTGCCCCCAGCCTCCTCTGTGCAGGGAAGTGGTGGCTGCAGAGTGTCCGCCCTATGAGGAAGGGTGGGGAGTGGGGACCAGGGAGACTCAAGATGGAGATGAGATGAGCAGAGGAAGGATCTGGAGTATGTTGGCCAGAAGGGAATTCTTGGCAGAAACTGGAAAGACAGGTATGAGTGGGAAGTCCTGGCCTGGAGAAGATCCCTCTGTCAGCAGAGTCTGAGGTATGACTGCCCAGGGAGCCCGAGAGCAGCAGTCCGGTCAGTGGGGTCAGGCTCTTAGTCACAGGGCCTCCTCCCTTCTCCCTCCTCCCTTCCGGAGGCTGCTCCCCGCCTCCTTTGAGAATAGGAGCCCACCTACCCAGGTTTCCTCCCATCTTCCCCTCCCACTAGGCATGCTGGGTACTCACTTTGGCTGGCCCTTGTGGGACCCCGGTGTCCCCACTACTTGCCAGCCTTACCTTTCCTGAAAACCTCCTCCCTCTGCCCTAGTTTGTCACTTGTGAGATGCTCAGGACAACTTCACATCCCTTCACTCCCTGATGAAGTAAGCATTTCTCTCCTCCCTCCCTTCATCCCTCTCTACCTTCAGTGTTTTTTTTCTCTCTCTCCCCTTCTCTCTCTCCCTCCCCCACCCCTATTTTATGGATGGGGACAACTGAGATCTGGAAAATGGAGAGGAACACACACTGAACAGGGGGAAAGGCATTGTGAGGGCTCAAAATCAGATGCATTTTTCTTTCCCATCTCCCTCTGTGAGGATCTCCTCTCTCCAACCTTAGCTCCTCAGAGATTCCCACCTGTATTTTCCACGTTATAAAAGTGCACAGTCACAGAAAGGGAAATGGAAGGAGAGAGGCACCCCATGAATACCACCACATGCAGTTTGGTACATGCTCTTTCAGATTTTATTCTGTGAATATTTCATTTACAGGACGAGGATCACATGCATATACATTTTTGGATCTTTTTTTTCATTTAACATCAGATAGTATAAACATTCATGCATGACATTAACGACTCTTCATAATTATTATTCTGAACAGCTCTATCAATGTCCAATATCGGATTATGATTTACATAAACAATCCATGATATTGGGGACATGCTCAGTGTTTCTACTGTTTTGCTATGACAAATAATGTGATGAATTCAAACCTTGCTCCATGTTTTGGATTTACTAGAATTACTTGGTCAAAAATGGTGAGTTGGTTCTTATTTACCTTGTCCAACTGTGTTCCATAAAAATTGTACCAATTTACATTCCACTGGTGGAGGCTGCTGATCTCACTGCATCTTTACAAGAATTGAGATTTTTGTGTTTCTTGCTTGGGTATTGGTTTTCTTTCTCTCTCTCTGATATAATTGGTTTACACTCATGTCATATTGTTGAGGTTTCAATGAGACTTTGAGGAAAGGTAAAGCCCAATATGACTATAAGTCATCAACGTCCTTATTTTTGTCAATTTCCTATTCAGGGTGTACTGATGAAGAGATGGAAGTTTGGACAGATTAGCAATGTTTTCTCATGGTCTCCTTTATCCAATCAACGTAATTGCAGACCCGGGTATAGACAACTGGTTCACTGTGTTGGCCACAAGGGAACGTTTCCCAGGACACCAGGCCTTGCAGGGTGTCATTGCACATCAGTGGTCCCCCTGAGTCACCCTGGAGGGGAGAGAGCAGATTAGCTTTGGCTTCACACCCACCAGTACTGAGGTCTCATACAACCCCCACAGTTATCAAGTCTTTGTCCTGACAGACCACAGTCTTCCACCCTGGCCAATGGGAAAAAACACATTGCTTCTGTAGACCAATGGGGGAGCAGGAATTAATACTATCATGGAGAGGACAAACCAGGTTCTCTGAGAACATTGGCTAGAGCTCTGGCCAATGGGACAAATCACAGGGAAGAAGTGGGGCTTCCAGAAGGCAGAGTCCCATCTATTTTTCATCATGAAGGACTCAGGGCCAGCCAATCAGAGGAGCATTATCCCCAGGGAATGGATTCATACCCCTTAGCCAGGGAAGGGCGACAGGGCAATCCTGGAAATGAGGGGGAGGACCAATGACCTATTTCACATGGCCCAGTGCAAAAAAACCCGCAGGCCCCCTTGTTGAAAAATTATGAATTTTAAGACAGCAATAAGAGTGTGTTAAACCAAGTGTGGGACTGTCCTAAATGTGGGGCTGCGTGTCCCTGCACAGCTTGTACATTCATGAAGCAGGTCCTCACTAGGGGACAAGGAAACCTCCCATTCTCTAGGACACAATGTCCTGTCCCATTACTTTTCTCCCTAACACACACCGTCCAGCGGTGCCTAAAAGTGGGGGTACAGATGTGAGCAAAGAGAGTGGGGGTACAGAGAAGAACAGGACCAAAGAGAAGGAGAAGAGAGAGGTAGAGAGAAGGATCGAGAAAGCAAGGGGGATGGAGGAGGGGGCAGAGAAGCAGAAATGTAGGGAGTGGGGAAAGAGGCAGAGATGGAGGCAAATAAAAAGGGAGAGAGAGAGAGAGAGAATGAGAGAGAGAGAGAATAATCCCATTACACACCACACACACACACACACACACACACACACACACACACACACACACAGAGACAGATAGAGATCCCAACACAAAGATAGAACACAGTAGTGAACAATGAACTGAAATTAAGTGTAAAGAGACATGTGGGAAAATGATACTCAGAGGCAGAGAGTGGGTGACAGAGATGAGGACGGGGAACAAGGAGGAAGGGGACTCCTTCTTTCCCCTGGATCGGGACCCAACTGAGGTGAGTGAGATATTAGCATTGGGCATGAAATCTCAGAGATTGCAGTAAATATTATTTTAATGTACTACCTTAAAATAAATTGAATATGACAGTATCTATGAGAAACACAGTATACTAATTTTAGATAAAGATGGGGTTAGTACAGGGATGGGCTGAACCATATGGGAGCCTGAAACTAATGGAAAATCCAGGGAAACAGATCGCTCTTTGTTGAAATCCTGATATTTTGTTCATTGTGGATAGTTTGTATAGATTTTTAAAAAATGCTGTGTTAGAATTTGATTAATCTCGGTCACTGCAGTTTTGGTCCCCCTTCTCATTTTCCTTAGAGTTTGGGCTTGTGACCAGGGCCTGACTCCCCTTCCCCCAGCCCCGGCCCCATCTTCCCCACTCCAGCCCCTCCCTTCAGCTCTGTGCCCATCCCCAGGGTCACACCAGGCCCCATGGGCTCCCACTCTGACCTAGGCAGAGGACCGGGCAGAGACAGTCAGGAAAGTGGGCCTGGGGGTTGCGAGAGAAGGCTCGGCACCAGGGTCAGACCCTCAGATTCTGGATGGAGGGAAGACAGGGCTCTGTGCTGAGGGGAGCAGGACCCAGGGCCGGGGGGGCGGTGTCTCACATTGCAGGCGTTGGTCTTGCTGTTGGAGAGGCTGCTGGCACAGATCATGGAAGGTTTCACACCGTTGTAAAACTTCTTGCACTCCTCGAAGGAGATGAGGGTGACATCCGTGCACATGAGCTCCGATGGAAGGGTCACTGGGGGAGAGGGGACAGGAGAGGTCAGCAAGAGGCCTGGGCCTGTGGAACCATGCATGCTGATGGGAAAAGAATGGGGTCCTGGACATTGAAGGAGGAGGGGCTGGGGGACTCGACACTATGGTCATGAAAACGGGCCTAACTCCTGTCCTCCTGGGTCTGAGGGAGGATGGTCCTGTGGGCCAGGGCTCCTGGTCTGAGAGCAGATTGGCCCAGGGGCCTGGTTTCTGGGTGGAAGTGGGGGGATGGGTTTTGGGGCTCCTTAGTCAAGAGGCAACCTGACCTTTATGGCTGTTGGTGGTGCCCCAGCCAGAAATGGTACTTGTGGTCCCAGGGGTTCGCAGCTGGAGGGCAGGTTGACTTCCCTCACACTTGATGACAGTCTGGCTGGGCTGCTTAGCTTCACAAGCATGATGTCATTAACATGGGTCTGTGTGGAATAGTTGGGGTGGATGAATGACTCTGTGACGCTGAGGCTCTGGACGTTGCCATTGTTCAGCAGATCACTGCCAGCCTGCAAGAAGTACTCACTGGGAGAAGAGAGTGACATTCAGAGAGACGCTCTGACTCAGGGAAAAGGGCAGGGATGCAGAGAGAAGGGTTAGAGGCCCAGAGAGAGGGGGACAGGACCCAGAGAGGGGGGACAGAGGCCTAAAGAAAGAGGGGAACAGAGACCCAGGAGAGCTGGAGTCCCTGCAGCACCCATTGCCACATACTTCATCTTGCAGTGGGCGGCGGTGAGCACCCACATCTCGTTGACCAGCACGCCTCCACAGTGGAGCTGACTGCCGCTGAGCAGGGCCACCTGCCAGGGACGGGAGCCCTTTGGACATGGACCTCCATTAATAATCCTTTCCCCGGTATCCTGGGCTGGATGGAGACATGGAGAAAAACGTGGGTAGCAAGCATCTGGACAAAGCTAAGGCATCAGCAGAGGGATTTGCAGAGACAGAGGGACAGACAGACAGGCAGGGAGAAGGGCAGGGTGGAAGTGGACAACGGTGTAGAAAAAGCTGCAGGTGGACATGGAGAGAGACAGAGGGAGCCCGCTCAGAAACCCAGGGGACGTCTGGTCTGGAGGCACCCCAGAAGCCAATGGGAGGGACACCGAGTGCAGGAAAAGGCCTGGAGGACACACAGACCCCAGGAGTCAGAAGGAAGCAGCAAGGGGGGAGGCACAGGCAGAAGAGTCTTATCTTCATGGGAGGAAGCTGCCGCATGGGGAGGGGTCCTGACTCAGGGACTCCTTGGAGAGAAGGGGGGGGGGGGGGGGGGGGGGGGGGCACCGTGAGGCCCAGGGGCAAGGTCAGGCCCGCCATTGGGTGCTCACCTTTTTTTGCAGATCCCAGGGATAAGGACAACAGTAGGATCAGCAGGAGTGTGAGAAGGGAACCTGCCATGTGACTTCTCTCAGCCTCTGGGGCTGCCAGGTGGTGGAGGAAGGGCTCTCCTGCTGGGGCTGGAAAGACAAAAAGTTCAGGAAGCAGAAGTCATGGTCCCCAGCCCTCTCCTCCCTTGGACTTAGGAGTTCAGGCCTCCATATTTCCTTCCTTTGGGGACCCAGGAATCTGGCCTCCCATTCCCTGCAGAGTCATAAATAAGTATCCCCAGTTTTTTTTTCTCCCGACAAGACCCAAATTCCAGACATCCAGTCCCTCATCTAGCAGAACCAGGACCCCAGACACTCCTGCCCCTCCTCTCAGGAGCTGGAGTCAGCTGTCCAGCTAGCGTCACCTTCCGCTCCCAAATGAGGCCCCTTCTCACCTGTGGAGGGTCCGATCTGATCTGCGCTCTTATCCAGCCTGTGCAGGCCCTCTGATACGACCCCTACCCCCACCGCCATCAGTCTGAGATGCAGGTGGAGCCCGCTCTCCAATGCCCCCTTCCTAAGTTTGAGGTTATCTCGAACCCTTGAGGCAGCTAAAGCAATAGGCCAGCTCTCTACCTCCACCCTTCCTCCTGAGGCCAGATTGGGGCTGTAACCAGCCGGTTAGCCTCCAGCTCATTCTGGCTCCACCATCCCTGGTGGCAGCTACCCAGGGAGGGACCAGATGCTGGCTCTGAGGGCAGGAGCAGGGGCCAAGAAACAGCGTGGCTGAGTAAATAGCTTTGGCCTGGGTCCTCCTCTGTGGCCCTTTTTCTTGCTCTCACCCCCTCTCAGGGGTGGCCTAGACCATACACCCCAACTCTGACCAGCCTGTGGGAACTTGTCCAGGCTGAATCCCAGTCGTGTCTTGGAGCCTGAACCCAACCCCACCCCTAATATAAGAGTATGAATGAAAAAGAGAAGGCCTTCCTAACACTTACTGTTATCACTTAGCCTGTTCTCATGTTATACGTACATTTCTATATATATTATGTGTTTATAACAAATTATCTGTCCTAAAAATTATCTGATACAACCTTTTATTTACTCTATAGATATCTTGAACAATTTTTCCTCTTAGTGCATTTAGATAATTTCTTCTTCTTTTATAGCGGTTACAAAATATTCCATACTATAGTTTTATTCTGATTTATGTCATCAGATTGTTTACATAGCAATCATGTTTCAAATTGAAGTACAATTGGGTAGTTTTCATTATAGTAACGGTGGGATGAATTTCTTTGTATATTCATCTTTGCTTTTCTGGCTACTGGAGACACATTATCAGTGAAACATTAAACATTCCTTTCCAGAGGCTCTTATTCTAGTGGGTTGAATTGAAGAATAAGTACATAATGTTGCATTTGGGTTCCTTTGTTTTCATTTTTTGGGAACTTTTTGTATGGTTTTGGTTTATGGTTACCATCTAGGCACTCAAGTTTAACTGCACTCTAAAAGCGCTGTATTTTTACTTTGCCCTCCACTCTTTTATTGTTTTGATGTCATGTCTTATATCTTTTTGTTTTGTGTAACTCCTCATTACTTACTGTAGTTATAGTTAATTTTGCTACTATTGTCTTTGATCTTCCTATTAACTTTTTAAGTTGGTTGATTCACTGTGATTATTGTATATTTGCCTTTACAGTGAGGTTTTTTTTCCTTTCCTATATTTTCTTATTTCAGGCTATGGCCTTTTCTTTTCTACATAAAGAAGGCCTGTTAACATTTCCTGTCAGGCCAGTGTAAGGTGGTGAACTCCTTTAGTTTTTGAGTGTCTGGGAAACTATTTCTCCTTCAGTTCTAAATGATAACCTTGCTGGATAAAGTATTCTAGGTTGTAAATTGCTTTCTTTGAGCACTTTAAATAAATATCTCCTACCACGCCCTTCTGGCTTGTAAAATTCTCCTGAGAAATCAGCTGATAGCCTTATAAGGTTTCTCTTGTATGTGACCTCTTTTTTCATTTTTGCTGCGTTTAAGATGACTCTTTATCCTTAACTTTTGCCATTTTAATTAGAATATGTCTTGGTGTGGGTCTCTTTGGGTTCATCCAGTTACAACACAGCAATTCTATTTCTGGGTATTTACCCAAAGAAAAGGAAAACACGAATTTGAAAAGACACCTATGTTCATTGCAGCATTGTTTAGAACGGGGAAAATATGGAAGCAACCTAGGTGTCCATTGATAGATAAATAGACAAAGAAGATGTGGTACATATATACAATGAAATGTCATGCAGCAATAAAAAAGAATAAAATCATGATATTTACAACAACATGGATGGACCTAGAGGGTATTATGCTAAGTGAAATAAGTCAGGCAGAGAAAAACCAATGCTGTATGATTTCATTTATATGTGGAATCTAAAACAAACAAACAAATAAAACAAAAACGGACACAGAAACAGAGACTAAAAGGAGGGCTACCAAAGAGAGGGGGGCAGGGGTGAAAAGGGGGAGGGGACTATAGTCAATAATATTGTGATAACTTTGCACGGTGGTTACTAGAACTGGTGAGGTGATCACATTGTAAGGTATAAGAATTTTGAATCACTATGCTGTACACCTGAAACTAATATAACCAATATAAGATTTTATACCAATTATACATAAATTAAAAATATTTTTACAAAAGAAAAATAAGTACATAAAATACATAGTTTGTTAGGTGGCAGTAAGTGCTATGGGTAAAAATAAGACCAAGGAAGAGGGATATGGAATTACTGATACCCTCCACCCTCAAGGATCCCTGGGTTATAATATTAGGAAAGATGGTTGGAAAGACTTCATGTGAAGTCTTTGTACAAGATTGTGAAGCAAGTGGTGGATGGATTCATGTACCAACTTGGGGGCAGTGAATTCCAGGTAGAGTCAACAGGCAGGTGAGCTAACCTAGAATGTTCTAGCAGGGAAATCTTTTTGGCTGGAGCTGAATAAGCAAAGGGGAGATAGGTGGGCAGTGAGGTCAGAGACAAAATAGGACTCACATGACACAGAGACCTGAGGACTAGTGTTGGACTTTGGCTTTTACTCTGAGTAAGATGGAAACCGTTGTCTGATTATTCCTTGACGCCAAATTCATAAATGTGGGATTGAGCTGGACTTCTAAAGCAGGCTCCAAAATGTGATTCATTCCTCAGCTATGAGCCCAAATATTATCTCAATACTGACCCCTAACCCAATTCTACCTTTTCCCATAATTTGACCCATCATAGAAATTATCATTACCTACTCAAGCATTCACTGCTTGTGCCTTTCTATGAGAACCACAATTTTGTTTGGATAATCTTATATCCTCATCATGGCAAAAAATAGGCTTTACTGCATCAAGCATGAGAATCATATAGTGCTTGCCAGTGATAGGTTTAGAAATGGACATGTGATGCAGTTCTGAACAATGAGAAGTGAGGGGAAAACCAGTGGGTCACTTGTTGGAGGTGCTTTCTTTTTTTCAAAGCAAGGCACTAGAAAATTCTCTTTTGGTCTGTTAGGTGGTATCCCTTCTGGGTGGAAATTCTGGACGTGTGGCAGCCCTGGGACCATGGAGGGAGGTGGCTGGTGGACCAAGCTGAAACACTGCAGGTGGCCAAACAGAGAGATGGAGATAACTTGGGTCTTTGATGAGGTCACTGAACTGGTGAACTAACCCTCCATGGAGCCTTTTCATCTCATGACATCTTCAGATTTCCTTTCTGGTTTGGAGATTTTTTGGTTCCCACAGCCAAAATCTTCCTTATGAAGACATCAACCTTGAGTCCAAATCTCAAGTCAGATCCCAAATCTGATCCCAATCCATGAATCCAAATCCAATTTTAACTTGAATCTCTATCTGGAAGCTACATTAACCAACAAACCCAACCCTACCTCCAGTGCTACCTCCTTCTCCAGCCCTCCTCCCACATCCTCTCTCAGATCTAACCCTTTATACACTTAAGAAATGTTTACTGAGCACCTGCTACATACCAGGCTGGGCTCGGTGCTGAGGATACAGTGGTACATAAGCCTGGACAGAGTCCTTTTCTTCAAGAAACTGATAGTTAAATGTAAAAGAAAAAAAAATCAGTCATTGATAGACAATAAAAAATTGCAACTACAATGTGTGCTCTGAAGTAAAGGTGCAGGGTGGTATGAAAACACTTCCAAGGGATTCAGACCCAGGAAGTGATAATAAGCTGACAGTGGAAAGAACAGTAAGCATGAGCTAGAAGAAAATGGAAGGGACCTGGAGAGGATATCATGTACAGGACACAGCATGTGCAAAGGCCCTGAGATGGGAGGGGAGAACACATGGAGCTCAGAGAAGAGAGGTTGGTTGGAACCAGACAATGAAAGACCTTGTAGGTCATGGTGAGTTGACTTTATCATGTGGACAATGGTGAACCACTTAGACATTAGTCAGGGGAGTGACATAACAAGGTTTGTGTTTTCGAAATATCAATCTGGCTACTATATGAAGGATGGATTTGAAGGGGATGTGGAGACACAAGGAGACCATTGCTGCTGTCCAAATGAGAGATGATGGTGACTTGGATAAGGCCCTTTGAGAAGAGGAAGAGGGGATGGATTCAAATTGCATTTAGGAGAGAAAATCAACAGGCCACAGTGATGGATTGAATGAAGGTTGTGGTGAAAGAGTTGGAGACGTTAGGACTTCAAGGTTTCTTGCTTGATAGACAGTGGTGCCATTCATTGAGAAGGCATGGTCATATATGATAAAGAGCTAATAAGAAAGTGAGAAAGACCTCAGTCCCTGGTTTTAAGCATAATTCTAACTCCAATCTTTATTTTGGCACAACTCTCAACATCAATCTCAACACAACCACAGTCTTTTTGTTTTTCCAGTAACAGTTGACATTTATTGTTATTTTATATTCGTTTCAGGTGTACAGCATAGTGGTTAGACATTTATATAATTTATGGCAATCACCCTGATTAATCTAGCACCCGCTTGGCACTGTACATAATTATTACAATATTATTGACTATATTCCCTATGCTGTAACACAAGCCCAAGAATTAACCTGAAACCTGAAGTTTTATGTAACCCTAACCCT